AGAGAGAGAGAGAGAGAGAGAGAGAGAGAGAGAGAGAGAGAGAGAGAGAGAGAGAGAGAGACACAGAGACGCTTTAAAGCCCGTATCTCCCGACAGAAATCGCCGGCCGGGGGAGAGCAGCTCGCTCCGCGTCTAATCCCCCTTCTCCGTTTGCAAGAAAATTTACGCGTCCCTGCGCGCACATGACGTCCGCGTCCCGACTTGGCGTTGTCGTACGTTGTCATCGTGCATGAAAGAGAGAGAATCCGTGGTTCCAGTCGGAGCGCTCGCGTATTTCAGCGACGAAGCGTGCCGGGGGACGGACTCCGCCGGCCGACGCTCGGTCTCTCGCGGAGTCCCGGCGCAGCCCCCGGGGGCGTCTCTCGCGAGAACGACGGCCGCGGCAAGGAGCGATCCCGGGGGAGCGATAGCGCGGGACTCCGCGCGCGCGCGAGAGGGAGACACGGGGAAAAGGAGAGAAAGAGAGAGAGAGAGAGAGAGAGAGGAGAGTCGTCACGCGGCGACGAGGTACGTGACGCGGAGCCGGCACGGCGCGTCAGCCGGGAAGGCTCCGGAGTCGCGTGATTCCGCTCGCGGAAACGGAAGAGCCGAGCCGCTTCTCCCTCGCCCTCCCCTTCCGTCGCTTTTTCTTTCCTTCCGTCCGTCCGTCCTGCCTCGCTCACCTGATAGAAAGACGCCCAACCGTTCTTGGAGTTGACCTCGCGATACACGGTCTCGACGTTCATCACACTCTTGCCCGTCTCCTCGCCGCTGGTCATCCTGGCGCCGGCTCGCCGCTTCTGTCCCGGATCCTAGCGGCGCGCAGAAATGGGAGACACGACGCACGGCACGCACGGCACGCACGGCACGCACGGCACGCACGGCACACGCGAGGAAGCTGGGACTCCTCCGACTCTCTCGCTTTCCTGCCCACTCGGCCCCTCGTCGCCGGGAGTCAACGTGCCATGTGTCGAGGCTCTCTCGTCGGGCGAGTAGCCCTCGTTGTCCGAAACGCGGGGAAAGGAGCGCGGCGGAGGCGACGGCGACGGCGACGGCGACGGCGGCGGCGGAGTATCGCGCGATGCGAAGCAACGGTTCCGCGAACGGCGCGCACTTACGCACGTAACCTATGGTCCGTGTCGCGGACCAGGCGCGTACACTGCGCGAACTCGCGGACGGCGACGGCGGCGGCGGCGGCGCGCGGCGCGCCAGGGCGACACCCGCGCGCTGCCAACCGGCTCGGTCCCTAGCGCGGAGAGCGTCGCTATTGGACGACGATCTCGCGCCACGGTGCCCGCGATTATTTGTTTCGCTTCGCTTCGCGCACGACTCGTTTTTTTCACAGGATTAATTACTTGGTCAGCGATTATTTGTTCATATTATACAGAGTTTTATGAAAAGGAATAAAATAATGTCTCGTCTAACACCCGGATATAAATAAGAAGTAAAATGTAATTCAGAAACTAGCAAGTAGAAGACAGGAAAGGCAATTAACTGATTCAGTGAAATTGAATTAATGTTATGTACACAAAATTATGAATTATTTTTACGAAAAGACACGTTCCGTGCTATAAAGTAAAATGAGGGGAAAGTAACGGTCCGCGATTATGGACAGCTGCGGAGCAGTTTATCTGTAAATAAAATTCGAATTTTATTTCTAGTTCTAAAGTCTCACGTTGTAAGTCGAAAAGTATTCTACTGTTATTGCTTCAAAGAGCTGGAGGTTACAAGTTGCAAAAATAAAGCTAAAGAATACTCGGCCCTAGTCCCTGAAAATATTACTTATTGGAATATGAACACTCAGAATTCTATATAAAATATTGCGAGTTGTACTCGATCGCACTGAATCCTCTAGTTACTACAATATTACAACTGTCAGGATTGGAAATCCAGAAGAGGAAGCAATAGTTTTACATGTGGAATATTTTACCAGGAACAACATTTTATTCTGAAATGTTAAATATATGATACAAACGTGTAATTCTATGAGGTAGCTGTTTTTCCTGTAAGTTTCCCTATTAGTTAAATCAATTTAATTTATTTAAATATAATTATATAAACAAATTTCATAAGACGTACTGTTTATAAAGTACATCTCAGATCTTAGATAAAAAATAATAAATTCTTATACATAAAAATTTAACCAGTGGTGTCTCAAGAATTTCAATTTTCTTTTCGAATTTTTGAGATATTCTCGTCATCTTCGTTGCTTGGATCCTTATCACTTACGCTTTTCCTTTTATTTGAAGTAGCTGATCCCTTTTGTAGCCAAGAAGTCATAAAAGATGCTTGACCGATCTCTCTATATAACATTAAACCAGTTTTCACTTAATGTTACTGTTATAGAGATATATATGATACAAATCTTTATGGTGTATTATTTAACAAACTGTGTGCCTTTAGTTTCTGTTTTACTTACTTTGGTTTTATCTTTCTCCTACAATCAACAGTTTTGTGGAGCCCATTATTGACAATCGTAGATACCGGATGCCAGTTTAGAGCAGTTTCTTGTAACACCATATCATTTAACGTTTTAACAGCGGCGTCTGTCGATAAATTTTCACTTAACCACAGCTAAAAGAAAATTGCATGAAATCGATAACGAATCTAGCTCGTTCTACCAATTATCTGTCACATAAGCATTTACTTGACACTCTTCCTCATTGGTCAGACACACTGGCATTCGATGATGCAACCAAGACAACACCTTGTTACTCTCTCTTGTAATAACAGTGCAGCTATGTATGATGGTTCCCTGAGGTAGTACAAAATAATTCGTATCTGAAATATTTCTAATAAGATTGTAGGGTCAAGACATTATCTACCTCCTCAGTTTTGTGTATTCCAAATACTCCAGCCAGTTTCAGAACTCTGAAACCTTTCCATCCGCCGGTCTCGGAAAATTCATTGGTCCATGTCGCGGGATCATCCGCCTTTACACCTTTGTCTTGGCTCGCATATATGTAGTACGGTTGCTTCCGAAGCTTATTATCCGTACCGGCCTTCCACTCGAAGAAGCCCTCGCACACCACGATGCATCTTCGTTGCTTTTGCAGCGACGGGGAGTATACCGTGGAAGTCTGTATGCCTTCCAAGCGGCTGTTGTAAGTGGCTATCTTGTTGGAACGTTTCTTATAATCCCCCTGTAAAATTCATCAAACAATTTGTCTAGAAACAGTTTGAATGGCTCGGCGTCCGCGTAATACATTTTAAAACGATTAATAATTTGACATATTCGTAAACGTCAAATAACAAACTTGCAAAATACGCGTGCATCATCTGCCGGTCTACAATCTAATATCGCGGCTTGCCTGATGCCAAGGTGGAATCATCCCCCACGTCATGGCGCAGAGGACCCTCTCCTCCTCTTCTCCCTCAAAATGTGAGCCGGACGCCACGCAGGGCACAACGTCCCGCGGGCACACGTTATAGGATGGATTATACTTCAGCTCGGTTTCAGCCCATTTCAATCTACGTTGTTTGCCATTGCCGTCCTTATATCCGCACGCGCAGCACAAAGTGTCAGGATCCAGTGAGCTAGAAAATATGTGCAAGTGTTCATATAAATTGTCGACTTTCGAGATGGATATCAGGGGATAATTGTAGTTAATGTCGTAATGTAATTTGTTGTACGCATTCATATAACTAAAGCAGCTTGAATTTTTATTAAAATGAATTGATTAAGGTCCACTTGACGTTACGGATGCTTCAGGGCGCTCTTCTTCTCCTTCCTTGTAACAAAGAAAGACGGAGAGAAACGCTTCAAAATATTTTGCAGCATCAAGTGGAACACAGCCTAAGTAACATATATCAAAGGCGTACGTCAAATAAAAGGAAACAATTTCAAGAAAACATTGTAACAATGGATTGATTTGTTCACTGATTAAATGCGTCATGCAGTGATTAAAGTAATTTAAGATGAAATAAAATGACAGAACTATTCACCAACAAAATCGACCACACATTTTCATCAACTCGTCTCGCGTTTCACAATGTTGCCAACTGAGTCAGAGAAGATCGAGCTGATCGAGGGCTTCTTTACGAGAGAGAAGCAGCGACGGCGGCGGCGCCCGAGCGGCGATGAAGACAGCCGAACGCTATGCAACGGCGGCGGCACCGCTTCAGGCTGTCGTACCACTCGATCTGTGTGCGTATGTGAATTAATATAATAATAAAAATATACAAATAAATCAATTTGCATGGAAAGAAAATTATCTCGATTTTAACGAACTCGTCGACTTCGTATATTAATCCATACAACGCAGCAAGGTTTCAGCAACATTGTAGCAATAATTCATCGCAAGATTGAAACAATGGCTACGTTCGGCAGAAAAAGCTGCTTTGCAACTGTTGTAAAATTCATGAATCTGATTGACGTATGCTCTTAAATTCACACAAGATTGAGAGAACACACCAATCAGATTCACGAATTTTACAACAGTTGCAAAGCAGCTTTTCCTGCCGAACGCAGCCATTGCCTAAACGCTGCGAAATATTGCTGCAACACTGCTGCAATCTTGCAGCAACGGTAAAATGTCCGCTTTCAAAAATATTGCAATGTAATATTACAGCAACATAGCAATATAATAATATCTACGTATACTATACGCAATAATACCTTGTGTAGATTTATATTAATACATAAAGAACAAAAATTATGAACAAATTCCGAATTTTAGAAAGATCATAGGAGCTAACAACATTTTCGCGGCAGTGTGTGAAGAACCGTAAAGTCGCGGTCACCCATCCAAGTTTTAACCACACTCAATGATGCTTCCCAGTGAGAAATGATTCGTCGATCGACGTCGAAACGACGACGTCGAATCGACATCGACACCGCCGAATTGGCGTCGATTCGACATCATTTCGACGTCGATCGACGAATCATTTCTCACTGGGTTATTGTTAACCTTGATGATCGGATGGAATATCGGTGATCCTTTGACTCTGACACTTCCTTCTTGCAATGTGTAATATATTTGTACACATACTTTTACATAACATGTTTTTATTAAATGTTATTAAATGTTAAAAATTATTTTTCAACGTGACCCACACAGCATATTATTTGGGGACATCCTGAGGAATTCTAAATTGTCCCATATATTTTTCCTGAAAGATTCGTAAAACAGTCTTTGACATTTCGACTATATAAATGGTTGTATAAATACTATGTTAAAAATCAATCCGAATGTTACTTTAATCAGATATTATATACAATGTATGTATATACTGAGTTAATACATATTTACATTTAATTTATATACAGGGTGTCTTTCCATATCCGACAAAATTTTTTAGAAGGTAGAACGGATCGAGATGAATGGAAAAGTCCTGTACCATTTTGCAATTTTCGTAATAGTTAACGATTAATTAATTATTGAAAATCGTTGTCTTAGGCCGGCCTACCGCCCAATTCGAGCGCGTGGCGAGATGTGCGCATAGCAATATTGATCGCCAGGCGGTCACATCTTGCCACGCGCTCGAATTGGGCGGTAGGCCGGCC